GGAATCACAAGAATTAATACATTTTACATACACCACGAGTAAGAGCTCTAGTCAAAAGCTTCTCATGTTTATTCTTCTCCGAAGGATATTGTAACTCTGAATACTTTTAACTTTAATTTAGTAATTTATAGTACGAATTAAATTATTATAAAATAAATATTTGTAAATTCTCTAACTATTATAAAGAGGTAACTTGTTATCATTAATTTAATCAGAATTGTACATAAAAATAAAAAATTATAAGACGAACTTGAAAAGAAGAATAGCCAATCAAAAGATGAACTTGAAAAATAGCCAAGTAGAAAATTTTGTAATGCCCCCCAACCATTTTGATTGTCTTCCGCGTGCTTTATTTGTTTGTTTATTTATTTATTAGGAGATGGTAAAACTGTGATGCATACTGCAAGGTTTTATGTTTAAGACGAGAAGATATAAAAATCTAGGGTAAAGTTACTCAAGTATACAAATGGTTTTCTTATTATAAGGCGTTGTTTTGTTGAGTTAATAACTATTGAAATTTATAAAATGATCACCGACTATGAGGTATTACTTTGTTTGCTTTGTTGAGTTAATGACTATTCAAAATTATAAAATGATCACCGACTCTGAGGTATTACTTTATTGAGCCCTCTAACTATAAAGTTACAAAATAGTCATTTGACTTTTCATATGTTTCAAACTCGTCATTTTTCATTAAAAAATTGACGACAGTCTGAGCTGGACATTAACTTGCTAACTGGGATATGATAATATTTGATATCACAATCTCAAACGAGGAAGTAATCAAGAGTAGAGGGAGTAATCAAGGAGTAAAATCTCGATTAGGCCCTCTCATCCCACAACACTTTAATCTATTATCGTCAACCCCATCCTGACCATCAGGTTTGTCGAGGGTGATGGTGGGGTGGGAGTTATAATTTAGGGTTTAGGATTTGATATATGATTTGAGAATTAGTGTTCGGTTCTAAATTTTAAGGGTATAATTTAGTATTTTAAAATTTATTTTTATTATAGTCATATGTAGCATTAAAATATTAACAAAATAGGTCATGCCATAGGAAAAAATAATAAAATAATCCATATCATCATAGAGTGACAAAAAAGCAATCCAAAAGTTGAGTGAGTAAATTGAATTTTTTTGAACATTAGTGACCAAAATAAGAGTGATAAGATAATTGAGTGATGAATAATGTAGTTTACCCTTTTACAAATGAAACCCAGGTCGACCAATTAATTCCATGTTGCTAAGTCTTAAACCTAGATTTTTCCTAAAACACTTGTAGGATTCCAGGGTAATTAACAGACTAACAGTAGCTATGTCCTGGCTGTTTCTGCCATTGTGTTAGGTTTTATCAATCATTTTCTTGGATACCTAACTTATCTTCTCCAAATGACTTGTCAAGATCCTGAACAGAACAATAATGAAAGCTCATTCCATTTTAATGTCTCAAAAATCACGAGCTTCGCTTTCAGGGCAGTTCATAAAGGAAAATAGAAGACATGAAATTGTTTAAACCCTAACTCCTCCATGTAGCTGTCCTTAAGTTATCAGGTAATGAAAATACTGCAAATATAGGATATTTGGTCATTCTGGCATTGAAAAAAAAGTCTGGGGGTGAATGTAATACATGAAGGTGGGCTTCATTTTTCAGAGAAAGTGTGAAGTCATTATCATGCAGTACCCTTTGTAAAAAGAAGCTTCCATCCAAGCATACTTGTCATTGTCGTCCGATTCAATTTTTACCAAATCAGCTTCTGTTAGTAGTGTATTCATGTCTTATTGCACTGAAATTCGTTTTTTTAAATAATTATTTATTTTATTGATTAAACATACCTTAAAATTTTATTTATACATATTTTATACAAAAAAATTATATTGTTACTATATATATCTATCCTTAAAAATATTTCAGAATTCACAATTGGTTATCGCTGAGGATATCATATGTGACGTTCCTCTGATGATGAAATTGCAAGTCTTGGCACTGGACTTAATATACACACTTTGGTCCTTGGGCCAATTGGACTTAAATATTGGTACCCGGTACTTGAGCCAATTGGTACATATTACTTAGGGTAAACTATCTATTAAGTATCTACCAGTTCCTGTATTTTTATTTTAGTTATTTAATTATTTTTTTAAATCATATATAATATAACATTTTGTTTTTATGCCGGCACCCCACCATTAAGTTGATCATTGACTTAATGGAAATGGTGATTGGGCATGATATAATAATAAATTTAGTCTCAAAACTTACATATTTTATCAAATTGATCCTAATTTGAAAAAAAAAATTATTATTAAAGTAGTAAGTTATTAAAAAAATAAAATGATGACCAAACTGATAGTGTTTTTTTTAAATATTGAAGATTTACTAAATTATTTTTAATTAGGACAATTTAATTATATGGAAATGATGTTTGTAATGTGACCATTTAATTATTTATATAAGCAAAACAAGCTAACAAAGGTTAACATATCACGACCTTATTTTAATCAATTAAATTATTAGTTAATGGGTGGAGTATACAATTATATACCAATCTCCTTCACGTTTCTAATAAATTAACGTTACTATTATTATATTTAATTGGACCGCTGATATTGTTTATATTCTAACAATGTAAGCTAAGGAAATATTTAATAAAAAATCTAAACATCAATTTTTATCATGTGACAATTTATATAAATATATATATATAATTTTAATGGTTCAACTGATTAATTTTGTAGATAACAAAATGAGAGAAGTAAGCAACTTTAGGATACTATATAGCCGTGGCTTTAATATATGGTAAATTTTATAAATTCCATCACTCGATTTTTTTTCTCACTTTCATTTTGGTTATTAAGATTTATTTTCTTAATTTACTAGTTGAACTCTCTATTTGCTCATATTTTGATTAATTCTGTCATTAAATACTTAATAATCTTATGATTAGACATTTTTAAAAAAATCATGAAATGGTATTAAAACTTTCTTTTTTTTGTGTAAAAAAAGTCATAATTTTAAATTTTCTTTGATTTATCAATGATAAAGCATCTTCTTTCAAATCCTAATGGTGGAGAGGTGAAAGAAAAAATTAACTTGTATGTCATGATTTCACGTTGATTGGATGGTGGATATTATAGGTCAGAGTGGTTTATGGTTGAGTTTGTATGAGTCTTAGAGTGATAGACTGATACGAGACAATGAGGTGAGTTCGTCGATATCCACAATTGTCTCGTATCAGTCTATCACTTCAAAACTCATACAAACTCAACCATAAACCACTATGATCTATAATATCCACTATCCAATCAACGTGGAATTATGATATACAACTCATTTTTTTCTTTCACCTCTCAACTGTTAGGATTTGGAAGAAGAATGATAATTGCAATGCCAGCATGTCACGTGGATGAAACTATAAAACTTTCATCTTTGAAGGAAGAAGATAAAATCAAAAGAAAAAAAAGGAAAATTGAAGTGGATGACACATGGATTTTATGTCAATAAAATGCAATCCACATCTGCACACATGACAACCATGTTACCCTTTCATTTATGATTTAACATCCAAGTGATCAAAACTGAAGCAAATAAAAAAATTAATGAATAAATTAAAAACAATTAAACTTTAGTGACCAAAATAGTAATGATAAGAAAATTGAATGGTGAAATTTATAGTTTACTTTTTAAGTAATTAAATTATTAATTAATCGGTAGAGCGTACAATTATACACCAATATCCTTCACTTATCTAATACATTATGAATATTATTATATAGTTTGGACTGCAGATATTGTTAATATTCTAACAACGTCAAGTTTTCTATTTTACTAAGCAAATCTAAATAGCGGATTTTTCTGGCCAATTAAATATCGAATTTAATATCTAATTGTCCGTCTCTTATATCCGTTTGTATCAAATATTGAACTCGTACGGTAGTTGTCATGCTAAAGCATTATTAAAAGTAAGGTTAGGTCTTTAAATTTTGATATTTGTAAATAGAGTAAATTAGGTTGGAATAATTCCTTCACAGTAAATCTATGTAAAATTCGATATAAATTAATTAATTAATAAATTAATTATTAATTATTAATTAAAAAAACATGGTTTTAGACGTTACAAGATTTGACCCTTTGTTTTTTTTTATAGAAAAAAATTGATGCAAACTATAAGATCGATTTTACACACTATCATTCAACCATTAGAAAATATTTTTAATAAATTGTTTTAAAAAATATAATTTATTTTATAAAATTATTTTCCCAAATCTATATTAAATGAATTTTGAATCTAACTTTTTTTTTTAAGAAATAGGAGACAAGTCATTTCATAATTGAACATATTCAAACGTAATGAATAAGTTGTCTACTAGTTAACGACAAATTTGAATTTTGCATCTACTAATTGGATAAACCCTAAATAAAAACTTGTTTGATCAGCTAAAGGCTCAGTCATTCCTAATTAACAAGGACCGGCTTATAATTGAACATAAACTGTTGTTGAATTCATTGACAACTGGTACCGGTCATCGGAAATTAACTAGGGCAGGTAAAAGAAAACTAAACTCCTCAAGAATATTAACAATCTAGTTCTCTTGAAAAATTTACTGTTAACCCTTTCTTCTTTCTAAAACAATGTGCAAGTTGTTGTATGTTGACAATTACTCCGAGTAATAAACAATATATTAATTAACAAACAGTTTGCAACTTTTTTTTTATTAAGCGACGTTCATAAAGTAAATAAATAAAGCTTTTTTAAAAAAGAACTCTAGCTACTTAGCTTATAGGATAATTGAATTTTGAAGAATTAGGGTTCCACCTCAAACTTATCTATCAATAATGGTACTGTTTAGAGAGTTGCATTATGAAAAATGCAATCCATGCAAGATATGAGAATATTTTTTTTAATATATTTCATAAAAATGTAAATATAAAATCTTTTTTATTCGATATAATTAATTTCTTCTTAAAATCTGTTGTTTTTAGAAATTCAATCAAATTTGAGAAAAAAATACAGAAAAGAAGCAACATTCATTCTATATTCAGTCCTGTCGAGACATGTTTCAATTGTCTCCAGACGTATCTTTACCGTATATGTTCCTTTTTTGATGTCTTATCCATCACTACCGGATACACGTCGCGCTTGTATCGGATACGAATACGGCCGCAACGCCTCGGACTTGCACGCTGCTGTTTATGTACGTTCTTCGTGGCCTATGTGTATGGTTCTATATACCACTTCCAGAGGAACTCTGAATCGTAGACTGCAAGCTGAGGCCTAACTGAAGATCCAACGATTTACAGTTTTGCTTCGACGAAGGCTTGAAAACAGGCCTGTTCTCCCGCGATCTGTGATGATCAGCTTGTATTAACGTGAACATGGATGGATCTTGTTGGAAAGGGATCATTTGAGCGTTCCATTTCGATGGATTCGAGCCATTAACATACCCATCATTCTCCAATTGTCCGAAACTTATCTGAGATTCTTCGGCAGCGGTACCGTAGTGCCAGGGAGAACGGAAACCGAGACTGTTTTGAAAAGGTTGAAGATAACAGTTGAGGCTGGCTCTCTTGGCTTGAAGCTGCAACCTTTTCTTCTTCATCCTCTCTTTCTTGTGCGCATTCTGATGACCCCCAAGCGCCTGCGAATTTGCGAATTCCTTGAAACAATACTGGCACTCGAACTTCCTGTCGTCGCCCTCTGCCGTCGTCGAGCTTTTCTCCTTGGACGTGGTCCACGAATTCACACTCTCTTCACCAACGGCACAAACTTTCACGGAGCAACCGTTGGTAGCACTCGGATCGAGCTCGAACCCGAACAACCTAAGCTTTTTCTCACCATTTTCGGCATCACATGCATAATTCTCCATCTCTCTTGTGTATCAAAAGAGCCTATGACTATGAATTGTTTTGGTTTGTCCACCATTATATAGTAATTCTCCAATCTCTAAGGTTTCCAAATATTCAATGCATCTAAAACTGGAATAGTTTTATAATAGGGTAAACTACATATTTAGTCACCCACTTATTCTCCTAGTTTTATTCTGGTCATCCAACCTTTTTTTCCCGAAACCATACCTAACTTTACGTTTTGATTTTGTTTTGCTCACCTGCCACTAAAAAATAAACAGAACTACTGACGTGACAAATTTTCCAAAGATAAAACGACATTAACTTATGACACATTAATATCATCGTTAATATTTTTTAACGACAAGTGATCAAAATGTAGTATCATATATGATTTTGAAAAGAAATAGTTAAATGACTAAAACAAAACAATAAATAAGTGAGTAACTAAATACGCAATTTACAATTTATAATAATCATGGAATCATAAACCTAAACATGCGTCAATATGAAAATAAATCAAAAATGAAAGCAGGAAATAAAAGAAAAGTCAGCCGTCTAATTCAATAATATTGAAAACTTTTCCTATTGGTTTAAATAATAAAATAAAATAAAGTTGTCAATTTTGTTGTAGATACACTTCAAACTTTCTCAACCAAAGAAGATTCAGTGTGTTTTTTATTTAAACAATTATTTTAAACGATGAATTCTATGGTCCGTAAACCAAATATCAAATTAAGATTAAAAAAAAATTAGGGCAGCACTTGCATAATATAAACAAATATTCCATTCTCTGATTTACAAAAAGTCAAAGAAAGAAGGGGACGTAATCTTCATGGCAGGAAAGGGGTTGCAACTTTGCAAGATATCCCAAATCCCCAACCGTGTCTTAAATGTTTTTTCTTTTATTTAATTAAACGAACTAATATGTGAGTGGATTGATCGTGTAATTAATTACTGATGCTCAACCTGATCTCCAAGCTTATCATAAAAAATAGCTCCACTTCTATATTTAATCAATCATGATTTGTTGGATTGATTTGACAATTTTAACCATCACATTATTTAAATAATATAATTTATAGTTTAAGCAGTCTCTGTAGAAATGAGATTATTCACCACTTGATGAAGCTTCCTTGTACGTACACTTCTCTCCACCCACTAAGCTATTTTATTTGTTTTAATATATTGAAGTTATAAATATTAATTTAGATTTTAAAACTTAGTTTTATTGATAGAAATAAGTGAGATACGTTGGTTATTGGTGGTTCAACTTTTTTTAATTTGAAAGAAGAATTAAAATTAGTATACAGACGGTCATTAGTAGCTGAATTTTTTTTTTATGAGGAAGAAGGAAAAAAGTAAATGGGGGAGAAAATAAATAATGTCGATTAGAGAAATAAGAGAAAGAGAGGAAAGAGCGAAAGAAAATGAGAGAATGAATCTCTCTCCGTTGTAATTGAGATATATTTATACTGACTTAGTTAATGTTGTGATACATATAATTATTATGATTATGATAGGTTAAAAATTAAAGAGAAAATAACCTCAGTGACCAAAAATCCCATATAATATACGATTTTAACCAACTTTTTTGAATTTGCCAAAATGACCAACAAAATCGCAATGCGATCGCTAATTCGCAACGCGATCTCCATTATCACAAATTCGCGTTGCATTTTCACAATGCGATAGTTGAAAATCGCGTTGCGATGGTCTACAGTGTCGTTGCGATTTTCCCAATTCGCAATGCGAATAAGTAAATCGCAACGCGAATTGGGAAAATCGCAATGCGAATAAGTAAATCGCAACGCGAATTGGGAAAATCGCAATGCGATACTGACTATCGCAATGCGATAATACAAAATCGCAACGAGATACTTACTTTCGCAACGCGATACTGACTTTCGCAATACGATTCTGACTTTCGCAACGCGATAATACATAATCGCAATGCGATTTTCAAAGCGCCATTAGTATCCTGGCCAAGTATTTTATTTTTAAATTCCAAACACGAATATTAATATATTGGAACACTGAACCGTCCACAGTATATCCCGTAATCGCAACTCATAACCTAAAACCTAAAATCACAACTCAGTCCCATCTCCATCTCTCACTCTCTCACCCATCTCCGACGAAATCCGTCCCCATCTCCGGCGAAATCCGTCTATCTCCATCTCTCAGAGTCACCCTCACAATCAGAAATGGAAAATCAACCAAATCAACCAACGAGGGTTAGTTTTTTTAATTATTTTCTTTTTGAAATTTTTGCATTATTATTAGGTTTTTCATATTGAAATTGATGATAAGTTTACTGGTAATTTCAATAATAGATTAACCATTTCACTTAGATTGCTTATTAAATCAACCGAGAATCGCAACGCGAAATGCAAATCGCAACGCGGTTTTAGTTTCGCGTTGCGATAGTCAAATTCGAATTGCGATAGTCATTTTCGTGTTACGATTTTCATTTTCAGAAACTATTCTTCTTCTGCAAATTGAAACTTGAATGAATTGCATTACTTCAACCAAAAAACAAAGACAAATACGAAATTCACAGTGTTGCAAATTTAAGTTTGAAGAATAAACTACTACTCTTTATGTTTATTATTGTTTTTGGTATATCTTCACAGTGTAGTTTTTGGTATATCTAATTTAGTATGTTTATTGTTTTTGTAGAACTTTTATTCGGCTCAATTGACCTTGAGAAATAAAGTCAGCCTGGCCCAAACAATTGCGTCGAAGCTTTCACCTGCACAAAGAAAAATGTTTGAGGATACATGCTTCGGGCCATGGCTGAAAGTACAACATCCCGGTGGAGATGCGATGTTGACACACCTGTTTCTTCAAACCATGACTAGCGATCTACCAGAGACTATACAACGTCGTGATGAAGATATATGGTTTGATTTTCCACCGGCGTATACGTGTTTTGGGCGGGAGGAGTTTTGCTTAATCACCGGTCTACGCTTCGGACACGATGATGTAGGTCGGTACACTAGACACATTACCCGCCCATCATGGCTATCCCGGGTTTTTCCTGAGCTGTAGAGGTCGAGTCTACACGTAGAAGACCTGACAAGATTGTTGAATAATAAAGACGGTTTTACTCGGATGGATGATGTCGACGTTGACCGAGTATGCCTTCTAATTCTTTTGCATGCCGGCTTTTTAGGCAGAGAGGCCAGACAACCTATTCCAAAGGATCTAATCAAATTGGTAGAAGACCTAAATGCGTGGAACCTGTTTCCGTGGGGCTCGTATTTATGGAAAGCTACATGGAATAAGTTATCGTCTGCCTTGGATGATCGAAAAAGTTTGCATGGCGATGGTTCCAAATACACTTTGACAGGATTTATTTGGGCCTTTAAGGTAAGAATTTTTATATGATGTTTCCAAAATTATAAGTAATTATTTAACAATTACTAATGTTTGTTATTATATTGTTTGTAGATTTGGATATTTGAGGCCTTTCCCGCCATGAAGACATATGCAATAAAAACTTCAAATGATATTCCCAGGGCTATTTCCTGGAAGAGGAAACGGACCTTGCAATGGGAAGATTTACTACGGTATACGACAATAAATAATGTAAGTTAACATAAATACTACCATATGTTTATAAACAAGTTATTACTAGTACACGTTTAACTTTGTTTGAGCTTTTATATTGTTAGGAGGCCAACACTCCTCTACAGAGGCTGACACCCACGGAAGCTGAGCTTGCCACTGATTGGTGGCAAGCTAGTAAGCGTTTTTTGATGGAACGGTTGATGAGCAGCCTCCACTTCGGGAGCCATCACCTCGCCCAGAGCTATCACCTCACCCAGAGCCATCATCTGATCGACTCGGCTATACACCTCCACAACGACAGCCATCACCTATTCTGTCACATCATCGAGCCTCTTCTCCACCATCACCGTAAGATAGGCGACCGACAAAGATGCCACGACGTTTATCTCCCTGTTCTCCACCTCAACGGGATGAGTTAAGGGAGTTACGTGATGAGGTCAATGCCTTGCGTGAGGAGGTCGGTACTTTACGCAAAGACGATGGTGCATGGCGTGTTGAGGTGTCTACATTACGCGGTGAGGTAGCCGCTCTACGTGAGATAGTAGCATCGTTGCAGAATGAGGTTTATACTCTACGCAACGAGGTAAGTTTAAGATTTTTCATACTCGTAATTCATTCGGTTGGTGCCAATACTGCTAAACTATTTTTGTTAGTATTTGTTTTTGGTTTTGTTTTTATCTTTTGGTTGAAGTAATGCAATCCATTCAAGTTTCAATTTGCAGAAGAAGAATAGTTTACTTTCGCAACACGAAAATGACTATCGCAACGCAGAAATGGCTATCGCAATGCGAAATGAAAATCGCAACGACAAAATCGCAACGCGAAATGAAAATCGCAATGCGATTTGTGTTTCGTGTTGCGATTTTATCGTTGCGATTTTGTCGTTGCGATTTCATTTCGCATTGCGATAGCCATTTCCGCGTTGCGATAGTCATTTCGCGTTGCGATTTTAAGTTTCGTGTTGCGAAAGTAAACTATTCTTCTTCTGGAATGTTTATATATGTTGTCCTTTTAAATGTTTATATAAGTGCTTACTTCTGGAATGTTATCTGAGCATTTTGTGAACTATGATAGAATAATGACTTGGGTGAATACAATGCTAGTTTGAAACATATTTGTCTTTGTTTAATATCATGTCTGTTTATTTACTGATTTATGTATTAATTTTTTTTAGCGGCCCGATAAGGTGGATGCTTTACGTCGGGTTTTCCTTGCACGACGGAGTTCACGCATCAGACGGCGTGGACGTGCTATTACGTCTCCGTTCACCCCAATGGTGCGAAGACTCCGCAAGAAGAAGCCCGACTCACCGGTCATCCCTCAAGAGTCCCCTCCAATCGTTCAAGAGGCCCCTATTCTCCCTCAAGATTCCCCCCCACCGTTCAAGAGGCCACTGTTATCGTTGAAGAGGTCCCTCCCACCATTCCAGAGCCCGATTCACATGGGGTAATATATCGAAG